GAATTTCACCAGGATTGTTCTAATTGGGAATTCCTTTGTTCTATTTTTATTCTCAGCTCCCTAATCATCGCAGCCTTCTTATGTCAGGTCTGTTGCCATTTAAGGATCTGGATACTGAAGATTTTCCTAATTTCATAAGATGTCATCTAATGTAGTTAATTAACAATCGTGGTCCTAACTCAGTTTTCGTCCCCTATTGGACTTGAACCGGCAACCTTACGATTGGTGACCTGGGAGTGTAACCACTTCGCTACTGACCCACAGGTCTCTTAAAGCTACTCTTAATAAACTAGTTAAGAAATACAATATAACAAAAGCTAAATTTATTCTAGTATTGACATTTTTTATAATATAAATTGTAATTCAAACTTACTTGTATAAGTAAAGAGTAGGCTAAAATTTATATACAAGTTAAATCAATAAAATGCAAAAACAGAATCTAATATAAAAAAATCTAGTAAAAAAAAAATTATTATTTCTATTTTATTCTAATATGCAAGACTCAGGCAGTTAGTAAAACATTATTAAAAATACTTTAAATTAGATTGAATTTTTATTTTATTTTTAAAAGTTTTTTTTTATAATAATAAAAACTTTATATATAGTTTTTTTTATAGATATTACTAACTATAACCTATAGTGATCATCATCTAAAGGCTATATCTCAAAAAACATACTAAGAAACAGGGGTTAGATAGACTAAGTAAAAATGTTCAGAATTCCTGAAAACTTAGTGTAACCTAAAATTCAGACTATTATATCTAATTCTTGCTTCTGTCTCAAACTGCACCCTAACTCTAAAAATAGAGATAGTGATGATCACCATAGATTAATTGAAGTATTTTTCTTTTTGAAAATTTCTAAATTAATACATGTGTATGCATATATATCTTACATAATAGAGTAATACAACATGCATATTTTGTAGTACAAATAGTTTAGTCAATATTGCAGGGTTAATTAAAATATATGTAAAGATTATATTATGCTGCAAGGTTTGAAATTCATGCAAGCAAACAAATAAATAAGTAATCGATCAAAACAATAGTTAGTTTTCACATTTGTATCTCTTTAAGTTAATAGCATTGTATAAAAAATTTGAACTAAGTATAAACATATCTGAAAAGTTAACTAAAAAAAATTTTTTTTAATTCGTTTATATGTCATTATAATCATTTTTTTTTCTAGCTTTCTTCCAACTAAAAATGGCACAAGACATTTCAGATCTGCTAGTATTTGATATTGACCTAGGTGCAGATAATGATCTCTCATTATTACAAATATACATCTTTATATATTATTACAGTTTTACTAAAATTGTTCAACAATATCATTTATTCCTTTCTTGTATGTATAATTTTGGCATATTAAAGGCTAGTTGTAGTAATGCTCGGAATTTTCTCAATGATATTGACAAACTTCAAAATAAACTCCCAGATCTGTTAACATTTTATAGTAATCAATACTCATTTCATGTGAGTGCAAGTAATGATGGTCTTTTTTTATTAGAAGTAAGTGGCTTTTAGAGATGTTTCAGTATATTTTATATTCCATTAAGAAGATAATCACTGATAAGCTGAGATATTGTTACTACTATTCTTTGTTGCAAATGCATATTTAATACATATCAATCTTTATGTTATTCGTAGTTAGAGAATAATATAATGTTATTTTGTAATTAAGCTTATGTGTAAAACTATCAACTATATTATAATGCTTTTTTTTTTTTGTAAAAGCGATTTCAGTAATAACCTGCACTCTTTATACAATGTCGAATCCACCAGTACAGATTCAAAGTCAATCATGGATTACAATAGTGCTTTAGAATTAGAGATTGAATTTGAGGATAACAATAATATTTTAGAATTAGAAGTTGGGCTTTTCTTCACAAGTTGGTTAGAATTTAAGGCCTAGATTAATAATTTTACTAAAAAAAAGTGGTTCAATTATAAAGTTCAAACAAGTTAGGCAAATGGCGAAACTATGCATCGAGTTACATATAAGTATGCAAGATCAGATGTACATAATCTGAAGGTAACTTCTGACCTAACAAAAAGACGAAATGCATTTTCACAGTAGACACAGTGTCCATAGAAGCTTAATGTTACTTGCTCTAAATCAACTAATATTGTTCAAATTAACTTATATATTAATAATCATAATTATGAGCTCTCTCCAATTAATCATAATATGGCTCCAAGGTTCAGGAAATTAATGTCAGAAATGTTGTCTAACATAAAAAAATATGCAGTACAAGGTTGAATAGATTCCAGGACCATATATCCTTTACTTAAGCATGATTATCCAAACTACTCTATTTATAAAAAGGATCTAGACAGTGCAGTTTATAAGTTTTGGCTTACAAACAACTCAGG